TTCCCCCCCCCCCCCCCCCCCCCCAAAAAAAAAAAAAGATAGTTTGATGAAGAGTTTGTGGGTTGGAAATTTGGGCGCGAGGGTGGTGTCATTTTGAAAATTTCTTCTCCTGGAGATTAAGTTAATGAAGAGCTGAGGCTTTGAGTTTCATAGCTTTTGATCAGAATTTGTGCTACTTTGAGAATCTATATGGTTGTTTCTTGACAATGGGTTCAAGAATTTGGGTGTGTTCTCTGGTTATTTCCATCCAAGTACTGATTATAGCATCTCAGACAAATAACCAGGATTGTAAGTTCAATTCTTTTGATCTGTGTTTTTGTCTACAGTAGATGCTACTTTTTTTTCTTTTATGATCATTCCCAGAAAGAACACAGTTCCTACTTATAAGGTTGATGCCCTTTGAACATATTAAGAAAGTACATACTTGGCACTCTTTATTCTTCTTCCCTCTGAAATTTAATTTGCTCTCTGTTTGGGGGCAGAGAAAATGAAGGGAAAAAAAGAACATAAAATTATGAATCATTTCTGGGTTGCAAAACTGAACTTAATTAACCCAGTTTTGAAGCAGTTTAGCAGAGGTTCTGGATTTCCTTTTTCTGTTTTCACACACTGGAAGAAACATGATTAAGTTTGAATATGTTTTAACTTCTCCAAAATTTTTCCTGAAACCAAAGTTTAATTATGCACTTCTGTACATCATAATCTAATTTGGTTGGAAACAACTCCACAGTGAAGATTGCCTATCCGTGCTCTTTGGACTAGATGATTGCATATTTGCTATAATATTCATTCGTAAAACAATCTTTTAGTTCCCTGTATCACTTGCTTTCCAATGCAAGAAGTCATTTTCTTTACTTATACGAGAATTCAATTGGCAGCGAATCGAGGGAATCTATTTTACCAGAAATAAATTCTCTTTATGATGCAGATGTTGCTCTACAGTCTCTTCAGGATATATGGCAAAACACACCACCCAATTGGGTTGGGCCAGATCCATGTGGTGCTGGCTGGGATGGAATTAGGTGCAACAATTCCCGTGTGACTTCTATGTAATTCCCTTATGCATTTCACCTTTTTTCACGACTATTGAAGGTTACTTAAAATGCAATTCATGTTTTCTTTAAGGCTATTCTGATCACTTCCAATTTCAGAACATTGGCAAGCTTGAATTTGACTGGTCAGCTGTCTGGAGACATCCAGGAGTTGGCTGAACTACAGATTCTGTAGGTCTTCTGTTTGCACTTATGTCTTCTCCCATACATGAATCCACGATACCATTTACCCTGTGAAACATCATACAATACTCATTACCATTGTAGTTTCTAGCATATTGAGCATTTCAGTTTTTCAAATCCCATTATTCTACTGGAATGCAACATTTCAGCAGTCGTAGCGGAATGTATCAGGCACTGATGAGACCGGTTCCGGGCTGAGAGAACTAAATAATCCATTGTAAAAGCAATTTGTTGGTCGTATTACGACAACCAAAAAGTTTACTTGAATGAGGCCAGTGTTTGAAGTATCAGGCTGCATGTCTGGGTTAGTTTTATCCAGTCCATGTTTTACCAAATTGACTAGCTTTCTTTTCGGTAATGATTCCTCAGGAGAAACCTCCTAGGCTCTTCCCATCAAATATTAAGGAGAGCACTTATGATGAGTCCAACTAAACTTAATATGCGGCCTGTGTTTTTCCATTTTTTTTTGTTAAAAGTTGTCAAATATTATTTCTGATGATCCGCTTCTGTATATAGAGATCTTTCATACAATAAAGGATTAACTGGATCTCTTCCTCCATCGATCGGAAATTTGAAGAAGTTAGCAAGATTGTAAGGAAATTTAGATTTTTTCTGAGTCTTTGCATATAATGAACTTGTTTAATACAAATCCTTTTATAAACCATTTTCTGCTGCTTGCATGACAGAATCCTGGTTGGTTGTGGTTTTTCTGGTCTGATACCAGACACGATAGGATCTCTGCAACAGCTGATTTCTCTGTAAGAAATTCAACTTTGGTAATTTTCTTCTGCATATGCAAATATTGTTTTGAAGTCTAAGTTTTGTGTGCAATTGATTTGAAAGCTTTTATTGAATTTGATATTGCATACAAGCCATAGCTGCAGAATCTTCTCTTCTTGGTGTTAGGCGTTGGTCTAGAACACAGATTCTGCACCCCTCATATGGTGTAAGACTCATGTTCCATGGTGACGTGAGTCTATATGAATGGAATCACAGAACCTGGGAAGATTTGATACAAGTTCAAGTTAGCAAAAACCTAATTCATTTGTTTTGTGGACTGTGGTCCGTCAAATCTCTCCTCAGTAGCTCAATTATTCTAATTCATGTGTTTAGAAGTTTGCATGTTTCAAATTGAAAAAGTCTCACTTGATTGTGCCTGAAGGTGATATTTTATCTTGACTTACTTTTTTTAGTGTAATTGATTGTCTAGACACAAATTTCCAATGATCTTATTCTGTATTCTACAGGTCTCTGAATTCCAACAACTTCATTGGAGGAATACCTCCTTCCATTGGTAGTCTAATAAATCTTTATTGGTTGGATATAGCTGACAACAAGCTTAGTGGCACTATCCCAGTATCTGATGGAAACAAACCTGGTCTTGATATGCTGGGCCATACAAAGCATTTGTATGTATTATATCGTTTCCCTTATCCTTTTACGACTTATTCTTTCATTAGTTCCTTCAGAAATAGATATTAACCTTAGATTCTGTCTATTATTTGTAGTCATTTTGGACAGAATCGTCTTTCCGGTGAAATCCCTCCACGGCTTTTCAACTCAAATATGACTCTCATTCATGTGTAAGTTCCATGGAACTGGCTATAGAAATTGAATATCTCAATAAGATCTATAAATTACTTGGGATAGATTCGTGCCAATATTATGTGTCAATATACGTGTTCCCCTATGTTTTTTGCTAAACATTGTTTGCTCAACTATTTTTACCAAAAAAGGAAAAAAAAGAAAAAAAGAAAAAAAAGGAGATGCATAAAGCTTCTTCTTGGAGGGGAAAATCCTATGCTGAATAGGATGTGGGTGTGCACATACACTCAACTATGCTTTCCAACTATTTAGTGATTATTCTGTTTGGACACATCTTTATTTTTCATTCACGGGAACAATCTGCAGTGGTTTGTTTATATATCTTAACTTGTTAATTGGTCCTCTCCTCTAAAAACAGGTTAGAAAACAATTGTGCCAATGTGGTATTCAGTGAGAATTGTTTCCTTTAATTGTACGGACACCTTAATCAACAAACATTTCCTCTAGAGATTGATTTCTGTATTCGGATGTATGATTAATTTTATCAGGCTTTTTGAAAGCAACAATCTCATTGGCAACATCCCTTCCACAATAGGACTTGTACAGACTTTGGAGGTGCTGTGAGTATCTCTGTCTCATANACAATCTCATTGGCAACATCCCTTCCACAATAGGACTTGTACAGACTTTGGAGGTGTTGTGAGTATCTCTGTCTCATACTCTCTACTAAATCCTACTAACTTACTCTCTGGCTGTGAATTCCTGTTGAAGTTTTTGAACTAATGACTATGCTGGCCACAGACGTCTTGACAGGAATGCATTAAGTGGAACTGTCCCACAAAACCTCAATAGCAATAGTCTTCTCAAAGAGCTGTAAGTCGAAAAAATGGAATAACCAACTTAAGTTTCCATACCAGTTTCCAGGAAGTCAGCATCATCCTGCATTGCAAGAACCATCTCACTAAAAAGACTTTTCACCATCTGCTTCCAGGTATTTGTCAAACAACAAACTGACTGGCGCCTTGCCTAATTTAACTGGCCTGAATTCCCTCAACTACATGTAAGTAGCAGAACAAATGTGCTAAAATCTTGTTTGGTCCAAAACAAATGTGCTAAAATCTTGTGTCATGATGGTTTTATGATGTATACTATATAGTGTTTCCCATTACCATACTTTAGCTGAAAGGTTGTAGTCACTTGCAGGGATCTGAGCAACAATAGTTTTACTGCGTCTGCTGTTCCATCATGGGTTTTGACCCTACAGTCTTTGACAACACTGTATATCTCTCTCTCTCTCTGTCACACACACACACACACACACACCCTGAACTCCCATATTTTTTGTTTTAAAAAATATTTATTTTGCTTGAATAGTATGAAACAATATGATAATTTAGCTCCAATGCATCCTTAACGTATCCTAAATGTGTAGATCGTGCATACTTGCCATATCCTAAATGTATCAGACACGTATTATCGGCATATCCCAATTACGTCAAAAATAAAAAATATCTTAATGTATCCAAGGCATATTTGGTCATATCTGTATCTGTATTTGATATTTATCATACATTTATATTTCAGGTCTAAAAAGTACGGACACGAACACAAACATTGGACACGAATGTAACACAACATGGGCATACTGATACGAAATTTTTTAAAAAAATAAGACACGAATGCGTTAAATATAATGTATTTATTTATATATATAATATGACACACTTACCCCCTCACCACCCACTTGTATCCACTCTTTCAATCCGACTTTTTGTTCTACTTTTTTTGTAAAAGTCATCATGTAATAAAATAAATATATATTGGTAATAATCCTTCAATTCATCCTATCCTTAATTCTAAGAATTCACATCATGATACCGAATAAAAAATACAATATTACATATATTGATACATATTCATCATAAACATCTATGTTTTAACTATTAATGACTATTACAATTTCCATTTTAAAAGATATCTCACTTCGTAATTCTAATTTTCATAAATTTCAAAGAGCCCAATTCATAACTCCATTTTTCATCACATTCTTTCATTTATAAAGTTTTTTCCAATTGTATATAATTTCTTTTGGGTCCGAAATTATGTTATATTTATGCCCTATATTCATATAGTGATTATAACTTTGTTTATATTATGCCTTTGACCCATATCTCTTTAGAATGACAAAAACAACTTCCTTAATTATAAAGTTACTTGACAAGTTTTTAAAATTTTGAAAAAATTCTTAAAACGTATCCTCCAACGTATACAAAGCGTATTGGCTGTTGTTCTTAATGTGTCCCGAGCGTATCAGTGGAGTGTCCTCTGTGTGTCCTAAAAAAGTTTTAAAATGAAAAAAATGGACACTTACTTTAGTGTGTTCAATAAGTGTGTGAGAGTGTCTGTATCCTAGATATGACTGACACCGACACTCTAACTAAAATAGAGTGCCCGTGCTTTCTAGCTCCAGTGTTGTTGCAATATATGTGCTTCATAGTCTACCACTCATCCATGTAAACGTAATGATCTCAACTATGCGAATTATTGACAACTTCTTATTGATCTGTTAGCATACTATACCTTAGTTTTTGCCTCCCCTATGGTTCTCCTATATGGATGTGTTGTGCACACGTTTGTGTGTTATTTGCAATTTGATTTGTTGTTTAGATAAAAGAACACAATGGAAACAGATCATTAGCAAATGGGGAAACATTGCTTGGTGCACACATGTCATAGGAATTGCACTATCAAATTCATGTTTTCATAATAAAGCAACGTAGACCTGTTTTGTGTGTGTTAACCTTAATTAAGAAAAATTTATACACCTCCAAAAAGAAAGCAAGAAACTCGATTTGATAGAACTCATCACTTCATTTTGTTCATCCAAGAGCAAGGCCTGAGCTTGGTAGCTTCACTAACAATAGAATAACAGTTCCCAAAATCACTGTGGAACTTTATTGGATGAAATTTTACTTTTTTCCCCGTTACTCTGTTATTGGCGTTTTTTTTTGCACTTTCACGCTTTCTTACAACTTTACCGTCTGCCCCATTTTACCAAAATCACCCTCACGAAATCTGACTTGTAAATTCTCAATAATTTAAGACTGTAACTAGGATGTTCTTTATGGGGTATTATGGGTATTTGATGAAGATTCCACACAAGCATTCGGCTGAACCAACCTAACAACCACCACTTTCCCCTATTCTTCTTTGTTTTGACAAGTAATCAAGTAAATTAATAAATCTCAAAAAATTATTTATACTAATTAACAATTAATAGAAATTATCAACAAGATTACAATTGAAGATTGTACCCATAAAAAATCAAATGAAACTTCACAGCAATGCAATACTGAGATATAGTCATATGTAAAAACTGACATTACATATTTTGAAAAGAAACCAACCAATTTAACCAAAACCTCTCAATCTGTTCTCACAAAAAGAAAGACAACTTAATGAATAATTCACGTAAAATTTGTATTGTCAAAAAATGTCAAATATTATGTCAAATAAAATATTTACAATTTCACAAATTTTACAAATACAATGTGGGGTAATCTTGGTTCATATCCATTGTTTTTTTCTTTTGGGGGGGGATAGTTCATCTCTATTATTTTTATTCACTGTTAAGGTGTTTGCTGTAGAACATAACAATTTAACCAAATTGAATTTTTTTTAATTAACGATTTTGATGTTACACAGTGTTTTCAGGTACAGGACATTAACTAGTATATATATATATATTTCTCTCTATGTGTATATTTGTGTTTGTGTACATTCTGCATTCATTTGAAAGATCCAAACCATTCCCCAAATAAGTTCACTAACCTCGAACTGGCAGAGTTATGGAACGCGTAANTTATGCATTCATTTGGAAGATCCAAAGCATTCACCAAATAAGTTCACTAACCTCGAACCGGCAGAGTTATGGAACGCGTACAACTTGAAGGACAAGTTCCAGTTGGCCTCTTCAGCCTCCCTCTCTTGCAGACTGTGTGAGTATTTTCTCAATCTCAGGTGATACTGTATTTATGTACTAAATCTCGGGATTCCAAAGATACCAATCATATAATCTTATTCAGATCTCAATTCAAGTGATTCTGGTCATGCATCCCAAACGATGGAACTGATGACTATAAGTACATTTGTTTTGACATGACAGCATACTGAAGAACAACCAGCTCAATAGCACTTTGGATATTGGCCCCAGCTACAGCAATAAACTGCAGCTCGTTGATTTGCAGAGCAATTATATTACTGATTATGCTCGGAGGGTGGGATACAATAAGGAGTTGATGTAAGTTGCGCCCTTTTATTCTTCTGACCATTTTATATCCGTCATGATTTGAAGGCCATTATACTTTATCTTTAAAATTTATGTCATGTATCGTTTTACCCGATTGGTGTAATGTATTTTTCAATTTCCTGCAGACTTGTAGGTAACCCAATTTGTCAGGAAACAGGACAGAGTCAGACAGAAAACTACTGTGTCATTCCCCTGCAGTCCAATTATTCCTCATATTCAACTCCTCTAAATAATTGCTTGCCTACTACATGTGGTTCGAATCAGTTATCCAGCTCCAATTGTAAATGTGCATATCCATACACAGGCACCCTAACTTTCAGAGCTCCTTCCTTCTTTGACCTGAGAAATTTGAGTATTTATACGTCCCTTCAAAGTTCTATGATGGGTTTTTTTCAGTCCCATCAACTCCCTGTGGATTCAGTTTCTCTGAGTAATCCAACCAAAAATTCAGATGATTACGTTATACTGGACGTGGAAATTTTCCCATCTGGCCTAAATCGTTTCAACCGAGGTGGAATTTCTGGAGTAGGGTTTGTGCTAAGCAGCCAAACTTTCAAGCCTCCCAGCGTATTTGGACCCTTTGTCTTCCATGGTGATGGCTATGGAAACTTCGCAGGTGATTGAGTATTTCATGTGAGCATGAGAGAATTCTTTGAAGGCCGTTCTATTGTTTTCTGATGCATCTCTCTCTCTCTCTCGTATGTTCTCCTGGAATATCTTCAGGAACCCATAAATCAACAAGTACTGGCGTCATCATCGGAGCAGCAGTTGGTGGCTCTGTCTTGGTGATATTAGTACTCCTCGCAGGAGTTTATGCTTTCCGTCAAAAGAGAAGAGCTGAAAGAGCTGATAAACAGAATAATCCTTTCGGTAAGTTCTGGACTTAATCTCAACAAAGCAATTTTAGCAATTATGTCTACTATACGGGTTTTCACCAATATCAGTATTGTACCTATCAAGCATCTTGGAACCCAGACAAAAGCAGCGGAGGTGTTCCTCAGTTAAAAGGAGCAAGATTTTTTTCGTTTGAGGAGCTCAAGAGATGCACAAACAACTTCTCAGAAACCAATGATCTTGGATCTGGTGGCTATGGAAAGGTCAGCTTTAATATTATCTTGTTATTTGATATATAAGCCGCATCTGCATCTATTCTTGGTGGTCATTGCCTTCCTGCCATCCTGGTGTATGCCTTCACTTCTGTAATCTGCAAAGGCAAATGCATTGGGATCTAGATGACATCATATTTTTACAGGCATTTAGAACTATGACAAAATTCTCTAGTTTTTTGGAAGAAGAAAGATAAACAGACATATTTGGTCACTCATGATTAGGTGAGCCAGCCTTGAGAGTTTTATGAACCATTCAGGCCTAGTGCTCATGAATCTAATAATTTTTATCGTTTTCATGTACTGACCAAGTCATACAGAAAATTCTAGAATTAGAAATGTCTTTGTTGGTAACTGTAAGTGCTGGTGCCTCCCCCCCCCCAAAAAAAAATAAATAAATAAATAAATAAATAAATAAAATAAAACAAAAAAAACTTCACTAACTTCTATTTGAAAATAACTCTGCACATTTAAGGATTTGTTCATCAAGACTTTCTCAAGTCTCAACCTTCTCAATATATTTCTCCGAAAAATTTTGCCGCTGTATGGTTCTCAGATTTTAAAATTTTTTATTATGTTTTTAGGTATACAGAGGAACTCTTCCCAGCGGACAACTAGTTGCCATCAAAAGAGCTCAACACGGATCTATGCAGGGTGGTCTTGAGTTTAAAACTGAGATTGAGCTTCTTTCAAGGGTTCATCACAAGAATGTTGTCAGCCTAGTGGGCTTCTGTTTCGAGCAAGATGAACAGATGCTGGTCTATGAGTATATTCCAAATGGTACACTGAAGGAAAGTCTTTCAGGTACTTCTGCTGATTGCCTATCCTTCACTCCATATGAATACTGTAGAAATTTGTGGAACAAAATTTGATAAATTTAATGAATAGGGAGCTAGCTTTTGAGAATTAAAAATTCTCTTTTGTATGAAAATAGTAGAGTTGAGATTTTTCCTCAATGATTTTCTCACAAATTAGGTGTTTCCTTGGTGTGTTATCTCAAAGAGCCTTTTATATAAGGGAGGATTGAACTAGCCGTTCAACTAGTCATTACCACTCAACATAATATCCTCAACTCTCCAATATTTTCTCAACTCCACTAGTATTTCTTTAATCCTCTGCAGTCAAAGTAGGCTAATTATACTTCAAGTAGGATTGACTAGTCTCTCACTACTTGATAGGTCCCTTTAGCCAAGTCACTCATACTGACCAGAAAAGATCCAATTCAAACATCCAATTATATCAATGTAATATATATGTATGCATGCATGCATCATTATAAAATAATATTTAATATATAATAATTTGACAAAAAATGTTTCTATGATATATGTCATGAATAATGCAATATTTAACCAACGGATTGAGATTTTATATATTTCAAATTGGACCACCAACCGTGGTTTAATTAATATCGAGGGATTTTAGCCACATATTACAACATCTCCCACTTAGCTACAAGTCCGAAATATTCATTCATAACTTAAACCTATAACAACGACATGTTGTTTAAATTCTTCGGTTCCAATAGGTTTTGCCAATGGATCTGCAACAATATCTTTTGTACAAAGATAATCAATAGTAACATGTTCTTTTTCTATTATATCACTTATATACTGATATTGTAACTCAATATGCTTACTTTTGGGCCCGATTTCTCAATTTTTAATGGTTTTTATCGCAGCCTCATTATCACAAAAAATACGAATAGACATATTATCTACACAGACAAGCTTTAAATCAGTTAGAAACTATTTTAACCATACGACCTCAGAGACAACTATATTATAAGCAACATATTTAGCTTCCATAGGACTTTTAGCTATGCAATATTTTTTACTAGACCATGAAATAACACCACCACCAAAAAAAAATATATAACTCGTGGTAGATTTATCATCAATATCACTAGCAAAATCAGCATCACAATAACTATTAACATATATATCATCAGTTTGATATGTTAAAGAAAAATCTAATGTGTCTTGTATGTATCTAAGTATACGTTTTACAACTAACCAATGAGGTATACTTGGATTACTTTGATATTGACTAATCAAATCAACAACATAACTAAGGTCAGGTTTAGTGCATAACATAGTATACATAAGACTACCAACAACTTTCGCGTAGGGTTTAGATTTCATTTCTTGTATTTCCTCTTTAGTTTTAGAAGTCATATTCTTAGACAATTTTACTCCTTTATAAATGGGTGATTCAATAGGTTTATAATAATCCATTTTGAATTTCTTTAAAATATTTTCCAAATAAGATTTTTGAGATAAACTCAATTTTCTTTACTTTCTATCTCTAGAAATTTTAATTCTAAGTACATAATGTACTTCACCCATATCTTCATTTCAAACTTGGTGTTTAACCAATCTTTTAGTTTTAAGATTCTATTTATATCATTTTTGGCAAGTAAAATGTCATCCACATACAAGGAAAGAATAATATAATAACTCCCACTATTCTAAGTATATATACAATGATCATAGTTATTTGGAACAAACTATATGATACAATTGCATTATAAAAAGTATGGTATCATTGTCTTAAGGATTGTTTTAAACCATATAAAGATTTATTCAATTTGTACACCTTTTCTTCTTTACCTTCAACTTCATATCTTTGTGGTTGATACATATAAATTTTTTTTTTAAAGTTCACCATTAAGGAAAGCAGTCTTAATATCAATGGATTTTAGCCACATATTACAACAAATACTAATGCTGTTTATGCTTCGATTTGCATACTTGACAACTCATGGTCAAGGCTTACCAAAAATTGAAATAATTGAATGGCATTTCTGCAGATTACAGCTAGTAATGTTCTGCATCAGTAACTTAGATCATTAAAAAGTTGAAATCCGAGAGTTTGAGAATGTCCCTCCTTTTTGCATTTTCTCAAGTTGGATATCTTTGTGTGGTATGTAGTATGGTTTTAATTTCCATAGTTGTGCTTGTATGTTTCTCCTTTTGACATATCATTGGTCTGAACGACTTGCCACCTTTGATTTTTTTTTTGAAACTATTTTTTATCTTATTAATACAGTTACTATTTCTTATCAAAAAAAGTTGAATCCGAGTTCAACATTCTTCCAGAATAGGATTACTATGTTCCTGTAGCCTCACCTAGAAATGCACCAGATATGTCTTGCACCATTATTGGTTTTTATGGAATAAGAAAATTCTTGAAGATATTCTTGCAAAATTGCTGCTAGATCGTCCTGATCTTTGTTCTTTGTAACCCCAGTGTGATTAGCTACACTGCCAGACTGTTCTGACTGGGGGAATAGAATGTACGCCATTGAATGCTGATAATTTATGAATTACCTGCGTAGGGAAGTCAGGAATCAGATTGGACTGGATGAGGAGACTTAGAATAACCCTTGGAGCAGCCAGGGGTATTCAGTATTTGCATGATCATGCTAATCCTCCCATCATACATAGGGACATCAAAACAAACAATATTTTACTGGATGAACGCTTGACCGCAAAAGTTGCTGATTTCGGTCTTTCCAAACCTATGGATGACTCTGAAAAGGGTCATGTCACCACTCAAGTCAAGGGGACAATGGTAAGTAAGTTTTGAAAGCATGATATTTTGCTGAAATCGAGGGTTTACACCAAGGAATGCACAAAGATATTCCTTTAACTGTGGAAATTAAAATGGTTTCACTGAAAGAGAAAGGGTAACACAATATGTTCTCACAATTTCCCATAACATTACTCCAGCATATATCATAGGAAAATATGCAGGCGTTTTTCAGAATGTCTGATTCATCAAGAAGAACCCACCATTTCTTAGCTAAAAAGAATATTTAATGCAGTAAAATTTATGGAATCACTAAAGATAAAAAGTTTTGAGTTCATTGAAGATTCTGCGACTTTTCTTTAGTTTTTTGGATTGAAAATTGGAAGTTTATTGCAGGGCTACATGGATCCTGAATATTACATGACTCAACAGTTGACTGAGAAGAGTGATGTTTATAGCTTTGGTGTGGTAATGCTGGAGATGATAACTGCAAGAAGTCCAATTGAGAAAGGGAAATACATTGTAAGAGAGGTGAAGCAAGCAATGGATAGGACCAAAGAACTATATAACCTTCATGGAATTCTTGACCCAGCCATTGGTTTGAACAGTACTGCACCAAAATGTTTAGAGAAGTATGTGGATCTGGCACTGAGGTGTCTCGAAGAAACAGGATTTCTCAGGCCAGCAATGAGCGAGGTGGTGAAAGAGATTGAGAACATCATGGAATTGGCTGGGCTGAACCCCAATGCTGAATCTGCATCAACTTCAGCAAGCTATGATGAGGGAGGTAAGGGGTTCGACCATCCTTACAGCAATGAAAGCCTCTTTGATTATAGTGGAATCTATCCACCCTCAAAGTTAGAGCCCAAGTAAAGATCACTGTTTTACCTCCAAGATGAGGATGTGTATACAGTTTATTGGTTTTCACTGACCATGGAACATTTAATTTGTTCTGGCCTTATGGTATTTGAACATGCTAAAGAACCAGAACTGTATTTATTCAAATTCTGTCTAGTTTTCTGGTGGTGGTGAGGGGTTGCAGCCATCTTGTTAATATACTAGAAAGAGACGGGGGTTTAAATCTGAAAGGCCTTGAGAGGAGATGAAGTGGAAAACATAAGGCAACAACTATCTATTTTTGTAGAAGCTCCATTTATGCAAGTAATCTCTATTCCTTCTAGCCAAGGGTCAAAATTTTATTGCGGTTGATTGTTTAGGTTTTTGCAAACTAGTTTACAAGAGTTTCATATGCTTATCGAAGTTGTAACAATACACATTACTATGAAGAAAGATTAGCAAACCAGTCTGTGAAATCTTGGAACTTCATTACACAAAATTCTTGTGTGTTCGCGACAAACTCAATTGCACCTCAGGTCGGTTTCTCCAACAGGGCTGAGAAGTATCACTTGTTTCTATCAATTCCCCGGTTGCGCTTCATGCCAGCAGTCCATCTTAGTTTCTTGAATCCGACGATCCAACATTGGAACGTTGGTTGTGTCAGCTGAGATCCGAGACAGAAGAAATGGTCGAGCCAGAAGAGCCCACCTGGCCTCAACGCTCTGTTTATATCATAGAGAGTGAACTAGAGCGTGCCTTCTGGTATCCAATTGCTAAGCGCATGCATAGGATGCACTATGTCCAGTGTGTTCTCAAAGAAGGGAAGTCTCTGGGAAACACTTAAATGCATTGGTATTTGTCCCCTTTGATGCAATGAAACTGTTGAAGGGACCATCCAAGTTCATAGAGGTGGTGATAATGGTTGTATTCCTCTCTTTCATCCTGGCCGCGAATGTGCCCGCTCCTCCTCCAATGTCAAGTCCTATACGAATGGTTCCTCGTGGTTTTGTCTCTAGAATTTTATCGATCCCAAAATTAAGCCCTCCATTGTCATGGAGCCACCACGTCCACGTCTTCTCTTTCCCCTGTAAGTCGAAGTAATCATTACAATCATAGAACGCTGGAAGATTTTTCCGGTTAATAAGGCACTTGTAGCTTTTACATGTGTAGGGGTCCCAAATTATGCTTCTATCAGGCGGCATTGCCCAGAGGCTGTCGGGTAGCGGAGTTGGCTCCACATAACCGGCAGGCGACTTGGGGTGGCAATGCCGTCNTTGCCCAGAGGCTGTCGGGTAGCGGAGTTGGCTCCACATAACCGGCAGGCGACTTGGGGTGGCAACGCCGTATGGGGAGTGGCTCACACCCCTTGAGCATGAGTTTTTGCGCGAAAACATCATCCATCGGACAGTCTTTTCCAATGTCATATGTCATGTATTGCGCTAACTCGTCTTTGAACTTCAAACAACCTCCTCCAAATGGGGGATAGACCTTATCAGATCCCATCCTGAGGGAGTACCCGAGTGGGAGCTTGTGAAGCCCGATGGCAAGTTTCACTTCACTAGAGGAAGTGGGATCTGTATCTGCTTCAGGTTCACGTAGGCGAGTAAGCNCATCAGATCCCATCCTGGGGGAGTACCCGAGTGGGAGCTTGTGAAGCCCGATGGCAAGTTTCACTTCACTAGAGGAAGTGGGATCTGTATCTGCTTCAGGTTCACGTAGGCGAGTAAGCTCAATGAGAAGTGCTTCAACAAGTTGGTTGGTGGATGTGAGTTGCCTGAGCAAGTCGGAAACTCGGGACCGACTGGTGGTGAGTTCTTTCCGAGTTATTTTGAGCTCATGAAGGAGGGTGGTGGTGTCCGGAAGAGGTAGGGAGAGGTGTTGGGTGAGAAGATTTAAAGGGGGGCCGGTAAAGATGTAGATTGTGAGGAGGTTGGTTAGTATGACAAGAGCTAGCATTTTGAGCTTGAACTTGGTCTGTGTGTGTTGATGTGGATACTTTCTTGGTGGGTAGTCTTGTTCTCCACTCCCCATTTCTAAAGGCCCTTTTTGGAGCAGAGGGGCTTGCTGATAAACAGCGCTGAGACTTACAATGAGAGAGAGAGAGAGAGAGAGAGAGAGAGAGAGAGAGAAAGAGAGAGAGAGAGGGAGAGAGAGAGAGAGAGAGAGAGAAGGTATGTGATGAAGCATAACGAGGCCATGGTTCAAGCTCTACATATGTAGAGAAGTCCTATATGATAACACTGCAATACCCTTTTTTTTTTGTGACATAGTATCGAAATTATTATAAAGTAAAAGATGAGTTTACAAATTAATCTTGTCACACTAAAATGAGATTATTATTTAGTCAGTGTAGCATTATCGCTAAAAATAAATATAGAAACGTACATATTTATATGATCATTTGCTTTTAGATTTGTTTTAGGCCATCATTCAGTGTGATCCGCCGGTTTAGACTTTCTGAGGGTGAGTTTGATTATTGTGCGAGGGAGATAAAGGATATATAAAAGATTTAGAGTAATGTTAGATGAACTTTAAAATTAGACTTAAAATTTAGATTTGATAATCTCAACTATTAAATAGGTAATGGATCCCAATAAATACTGGGACCCACAATAAAATCAATAGTTGAGATTATCAAGTCTAATTTTTAAGTTTATGTAATATTGCTCAAAGATTTATATTAGTGCCACAAGGAATATCCAGCCTGAGCCACTAGTCAATGGCCCATGCTCGTCCAATGGGATTATTCCATTATTCTTGCACTCTTTTTTCTCTATTTTTTCTTTATCTATCTGTCTCTTTTATTTTCTCTATCTATCCCCTATTTTCTCTCTCTCATTAATAATTTATTTTTTTCAAATATATAAAAATTTAATTTAATTTTTTTTCTCTCTCCCCCTATTTTCTCTCACCATTACATTTTCTCTCTCCTTATATCAAAGTTATAATAACACAATTACACCAATAAGTTATATTAATTAGTTAAAATTATCTCATAACACATCAAACAGTTACTCATGTATTCTAATAAACCAAACAGTTACACTAAATAATTATACAAAATTACAACACCAACTCAATTTGTCATTCATCGTTTACATAAACTAAAGAGTTACACAATTAGTATCACGACATAGTTACACTAATTATATACATCAAATTGGGTTTATCATTACACAAAAGAGTTTACCATTATACCAAATTTGATATATATAATTGGTGTGCTCATGTTGTAATACTAAATGACACAGCTCTTTGACTTATGTAAACAACTAAATGACAAATTGGATTTGTATCATAATTTTGTGTAATTATTTGATATAACTGTTTGATTTTATTAAAATACATGAGTAACTGTTTGATATATTATAAGACAATTGTAACTAATTTTGTGTAATTGTGTTGTTATAATGTTGATATAGAGAAAGAAAAAAAATAAGGAGAGAGAATAACAGTGAGAGAAAATAAGTGAGTGAGAGAGAGAAAATATGAGAGAGATGAAAAAATCAAATTAAATATTTACATATTTGAAAAGAAAATAATTTTTTCATGACAGATAAAGAGAGAAATAGGAGAGATATAGAGTAACGGAGACAGAGAAAGTGAAAGAATAAGAATTATGCATAATTTAAAATATGGTAAATAAGTAAAAAAATTCAAATGTCATTTGAATTTTATACCTAATCACAACATGTTTTACTAAAATTGAATTTAATAGAGTAAAATACTTATTTATACACTTCTTCTCAAATAAGTTTAAAAAAATATACCTACACTCAAAAAACGCAAGAAAAAATGACTCATGGTTAAACTATCGAATCAATTTTAATAGGCCTTAACGGATTATGGGTTAATTGCACTAGAGGTCTCCAAAAGTATAAAATTTGTCTCATTTTGATCCATAATATTTCAATTTCATCATTTTAGTCTCGGAAGTATTGAATATGTTTTTATGTGGTCTTTCAAGCAAACAACATTCAGATTACTAATAATTTAATATCATAAACTTGTCAAGTAATATTTAAATATGGACAAAAAAATAATTTGGATAACTATAGACCAAATTTCTACTCAAATTTTGGTCAAAGAGTTACTCAAAGAGTAATACTACATGAACTTAAAAATTAGACTTGATAATTACAGTAATTGATTTCACTGTGGATTTCAGCATTTATTAAGACTCATCACCTATTCAATAGTTGTGATTATTAGGTGTAGTTTTTAAGTCTAATTTTTAAGACTATGTAGTATTACTCTTATCGAAATTACATATTTTTTTATCATGAGTTATCCAAATTTTGGTCAAGAGTTATCCATATTACATATTTTTCGTTAAAAGCTATCCAAATTTTAGTCAAGAGCTCTACTCAAATTTTGTTGAAGAGCTATACCCAAATTTTGATCAAGAGCTATTCAAATTATTTTTTATCCATATTTAGGTATTACGTGACAAGTTTATAATAAAAAATCGTTATCAATTTGGACGTTGTCTGCTTAAGGGATCACATCGAAACATATTTAATATTTCAAAGATTAAAATAATACAATTAAAATATTAAAAACTAAAATAAGAGAAATTTCATACTTCAATGACATCTAATGCAATTAACTCATGAATTATTTATCAAAACGGTATTGAGAACTTTTAAACGAGTTGGAATCAAGGTAGTTTTTATTTTAATATTGAATGTTGAGCCACTAGTCAATGACCGTGCTCATCCAATGGGCCAACCAACAAAGACTGACAGACCTATGGTTGAACTACCGAGTCAATTTTAATAGATTGATATAAAAATTTAGACTTATTTGAATTAAATTACATTAAAAAAATTTATTTGGTCTCAAGTACATTTTTTTAAAAAAAAAGACTAAAAGACTATTTATTACTCATTACTCCCTCTTTCATTTTCTCTCTCACTTTTTCTTCCTTATTTTCTCTCTCTCTTTCCCATTGATAATATATTTTTTTAAAAAATATGTAAAGAGTGAATTTAATTTTTTTATCTCTCTCATTTTTTCTCTATCTCTCACTTGCTCCCCCTTATTTCCTTATTCTTTTTCTCTCTCTTTGCATCAACGTTACAATAACACTATTATACTAATCATCAACGTTGTAATAACACAATTATACTAATCAGTTATACTAATTAGTTACAATTACTCTATAATACACAAAATAGATACTCATGTATTCTAATAAACCAAACAGTTATACTAAACAAATATACGAAATTACAACACTAACTTAATTTGTCATTCAGTTATTTTCATAAATCAAAGAGTTACATTATTTAGTATCACGACATAGTTACATCAATTATATACACCAAATTGGGTTTATCATTACACAAAAGACTTTATAATTATACTAAATTTGGTATATATAATTGAAATAACGAAGTCGCGATATTAAATGGTAAAACTATTTAATTTATGTAAATAATTGAATGACAAATTGAGTTGGTATTATAATTTTGTATAATTGTTTGATTTATTATAACAGATGAGTAATTGTTTGTGTTGTTGTAATGTTGATATAAATAGAGAGAGATAAAATAGGGAGAGAGAAATTAGGGGTGTCAATTTTATCCGTTAACACAAACCCGATACGAACCCAACCCGACACAAAACTCGAAAATAACACGATTAGTTGACACGAGTAATAAATGAGTCAAATTAAGATTCAATTCGAATAACATAACTAATGGGTACTGTAAATAGAAAATAATTATTTAACAAGTATTGTAGAAAAAAAATAAAAAATTTATAATTTTTTATAATTTTTTAAATAATATTATATGAGTTGTTGTTGAATTAAATAATTTTTTATTAACACGAATATTGATACGAACCAGATACGTATCGAAAGTGACACTACACAAAAATAACATGACTGAAAGTGACACGATATGACATGATTGACGCTCCAAAGAGAAATGGTTATATAAAGTAGGGGGGAGAAAAAGAAAATAAGGGGAAAGTAATGGGGAGAGATAGAGCCGGAGAGAAAATAAGGGAGAGATAGTGAGAGAGTAATGGAGAGAGGGAGAGAGAGAAATATTGAGAGAAAATAGGGGAAAAGAGAGAGATGAAAAGAATAAAAAGTATGCATAATTTAAAGAATGGTAAGTAAGTAAAAAGTTTTAAATATCATTTGAATTTTGTACTTAATGACAAGAAATTTAATTAAAATTGAACTTAATAGAGTAAAATACTTATTCATATACTTTCTTTCAAATAAATTTAAAAAAATATATACACGCCCAAAAAACCCAACTTTTTTAAATGGGCTGTAATCAAGTTAGTTTTTAATTTAGGGCTAATATCAAATTACACTCCGAAAGATAATTTAAATANAATTTTTACATATTTGAAAAGAAAATAAATTATCAATGGTAGATAGAGAGAAAATCGGGGAAAAGATGGGAAAAGTAATGGGGAGAGATATAGACGGAGAGAAAATAAGGGAAAGATAGTGAGAGTATAATGGAGAGAGGGAAAGAGAGAAATATTGAGAGAAAATAGGGGAAAAGAGAGAGATAAAGAGAATAAAAAGTATGCATAATTTAAAGAATGGTAAGTAAGTAAAAAATTTTAAATATCATTTGAATTTTGTACTTAATGACAAGAAGCTTAATTAAAATTGAACTTAATAGAGTAAAATAATTATCCATACACTTTCTCTCAAATAAATTTTAAAAAATATACCCACACCCAAAAAAACCCAACTTTTTTAAATGGGCTGTAATCTAGTTAGTTTTTAATTTAGGGCTAATCTCAAATTACACCCCGAAAGATAATTTAAATCTTAATTTGTACCCTCAAAGTTTAAAAATATTAATTTATATCATGAAAGACATAAATTTATATCAATGTGCACCAAGGTTTAGCTACCGTCTATTTTACCATTAAAAAAGTTTGGGCTAATTACAAATTGCACCTTCAAATTTAAATAATTTACATTTATGATCTAAAAAAAAATTATTTATTAATATTCGTTAAATATCTCTTAATTTTGTCGTATCGTAATATTTTTGTGGCGTGTCATTATGTGTCGTGTTATATTATTTTTATATCGTGTTCGAGTCAATAAAAAATTATTTTTAACACAAAAAATATTTTCTTGTCGAGTTAATTATATTGTGTCGTATATTTCACATTTACGACAATTCATATAATACTAATAAAAAAATTTAAA